GTCGATCTCGCCGGCAGCGAGAACATCGGCCGTTCCGGCGCCGTGGACAAGCGAGCTCGCGAGGCGGGAAACATCAACCAATCGCTGCTGACGCTGGGCCGAGTGATCACCGCTCTGGTGGAGAAGAGGCCTCACGTCCCGTACAGGTGAGAAACGACCCTCCTCGGTCTCACGAGGACGTCCGGTCCGTCTTCTCTGGGGTGTCTGTGCGGGTCCGCCTCCCCCGACCTTGTACAGTCGTCGTGGGGGCGGAGCTGAGGAGCTGTATTGATCGGTTTATTTTCTCCCACAGAGAGTCCAAACTCACCAGAATCCTTCAGGACTCGCTGGGAGGGCGGACCAAAACCTCAATCATCGCCACCGTGTCGCCGTCGTCCAGCAACCTGGAAGTGCGTTTCAAAAACAAATAAAAACAAAATGAATGTTTTCAAAGATTCATCATCATATTTATCCTGAAGCGTCTCGCGTCACCCACGTCTGTTATTGTTGGTGTCAATGTTTCCACTCGAGCACAGACTGTATATAAAAGATGGACGTAACCACGTTTATATTTTAGTGTTTCTTGATCGAGCACGTTTGTTTAGCCCGTGTTGGTTTCACTGCGTGTAATTGTGCTGACGAGTCTCGGTTGTGCGTGCAGGAGACGCTGAGCACCCTCGAGTACGCCAGCAGGGCCAAAAACATCATGAACAAGCCGGAGGTCAACCAGAAGCTCACCAAGAGGACGCTCATTAAGGTATCTGAGGTCGACGCGGCATTCAGCATGTGTTCGGGTTTCAAATGGCGCCGTCACAAGTTTGCCTGGAAAAGCAGAACTCAGTCGGGAACATCTGTGACGGTCACATCGGAAGCTTTTAAATTTGTGACCCAGAAGAATCTAAATGAAAATGTGACACTGAGTCCAAACACCAGATTTCAGGACCTTCTCTGTCCTTCAGGAATACACCGAGGAGATCGAGCGTCTGAAACGCGACCTGGCCGCCACCCGGGACAAGCACGGCGTCTACCTGTCCTCGGAGAACTACGAGTAGGTCTCGGCTGACACGTCAACGCTGCTTTTACCCAAATAGCTGACCTGACAGACCATCTCGGGTGCTCCTAACCACGACTATGTTTTTAATTCATGCAGGAGCATGGTGGCTCAGATCACCGCCCACGAGGAGCAGGTTACAGAGTACAACGACAAGATCGCCATCATGGAGGAGGAGCTTAAGAAGGTACTATCGTCATCCGCTGTCGGACGGCTGCAAATCAGAGCCTGATTCAACTTACTGAGGTCTTAAAAGTTGACTTTTGATCTTTAGAAGTTGAAGATGCTGTTTGAGCCTCTGCAGATTTTAAAGCTGCAGATTTAATTGAATGCAGCGGTTGCAGATGCTGCAGTCTTGCATTAATCTGCATTTCAGGAGTTCACTGTTAAGCACTTCACACAAACTTTACAGAGACTGTTTGTTGCCGTGGCCAAAGGAAAGACTCCACTAACTGTCTGGCTGTAAAGGAATTACAAGGTGTCTGTTGTGGCGTCTTCGCCATCGATCCATCGTTTTATTCGCTGACGTCCTGAAGCGGCGTGAACATGTGGTCGTGTTCTCTCTGCAGGTCACGGAGCTGTTTGCGGACAGCAAAGCCCGACTGGAGCAGTGCACCGCGGACCTGGACGAAAAGCAGCAGAGGTGCAGGGCTGTTGTTAAGGTGTGGGATTAAAACCACCACCAGGGGGCGCAGTTTGATTTAAAGTTGTGGTTTTCTCCTGTGCGCCTCTCAGGCTGGAGGAGACGAGCAGAGACCTGCGGGAGACGAAGGTGAAGCTGAGCGAGGAGGCGTTCATCTGCTCCGAGCTTTCCTCCGCCCAGGAGACGCTGTACGACACGGCCGGGCAGGTACAGGCGACGCTCCACGCCGGGGGAGCTATTTAGACGTTCTCTCACTTTCAGCAGAGACTGTTTTTGTTGCCGTGCCCCAAGGAAAGTACTCCCACTTAACTGTCTGGCTGTAAAGAAATTTGACCGAGGTGTCTTGGTTTTGGGTTGGGCCGGGACGAGGGGGGCAGGTACAGGCGACGCTCCTCTCCGGGGGAGATATTTAGACGTTCTCTCACTTCATCATCGCTTCCTTTTCTCTCTCTCTGTTATTTGAAAACCTCTTAAAATGAATCTTCAGCTTCTACTCTCTCGCCCCGTTTCACCAAACGTCCCTTTTTCAGATGTGAGATGTTTATGATTCGAGTCTGAAACTTTGTGCTTTCGTCCTTCAGCTGCTGAGCACGGCGGACGCCAGCACCAGCGACGTGTCGGGCCTCCACGACAAGCTGAACAGGAAGAAAAAGGTCACGTTTGTTTTTGTTAAAGCGGCGAATACGCGGCGTCCGCAGACGCGCTCGCTTCGGCTCGTGTTGGTCACCGCAGTGTGAAGTATCATTACGGGGCAGAGAGCCTGTAGATGGTTGTTGGTCTCACGCTGGGCCTTCCTGCAGTCTGAAACGGGGCAGAGAGCCCCTGCCCCTTTGAGCTGGCATCCTTCTGATTGGCTGTCACAATTTGAATAGTGAGTGGATGAAGCTGCTTCATCACATCAGGGATCTGTCCTCAAGTACACAATATAACACACAAAACAGGTTCCACTGCCTAGAAACCCAAAACGAATATAAGAACACATCACACACCACCACACACACGACCAGCACACAGCACCACAGACACACAGCCCTTCACTATAAGACTTAGTTCACTGTTTTGTGGTGATACCGGTGAAACAAGCACACAGAAGTCCAGCCCAGTAAAAGGAGGAGAGATGCATGGGCCACAGATTAGAACAGATGTTAGGTCAAAGCAGATGTCTTATTTACTTTGTAGTTGCAGCTGAGGCGAACACCACCAGCCTCGCTGTTTAACCCGTAAAAGCACATTTCTCCTGTTTAAATGTTTCATCTGGTTTGAGCCAGACTTGTTCTGACTGAGTAACAGATTCCAGTGAAGATGACACGGCTGCTTATGGCTGCCGTGCACTAATGACACAGCAGGTGTCATAAATCAGAGGTTTGAGTCACAGATGATAAGATTAGGGAACAGCTGGGGAACCTGCAGGTGCACAGCAGGAACTCTCAGCGGGATTTGGGTGGAACACGCTCTTATCTGTGACCACTGTGGGGAGTTTCCTCTGCAGACTTCCTTTTAGAGGAGAAAGAAACACTCACTGTGGTGTGACTGAAAATACACCTTTAAGCATCAACGCTTCACAGAACAGTTGGGAAAGAAGTGACAGGGAAGTCAGATCTGACTATTTTTACGTCTGTGGGCTGATTCGAGTCATTTCCACTGTGATTAAAACCTGAAAATCAACTTTTTTTTTTCTTTTCTTTTTTTTTTTTAAATAAGCGGTCCCCAACCCCCGGGCCTCGGACCAGTTTGGTACCAGGCCGCGAGAGTTGAGGCTCAGGTGTGAAATGTATAGTTTTCAGGGTTTTTATCGGTTTTCAGTGTTATTTTGTTATCGTTTTTATCGTTAACTCGGTTTTCCTTGGTCTTTTCATGTGTGTTATGAATAAATCTTTTTTTCGGTACCGGTACTAGTGCAAGCGGTGGTGCGGTCCCACTCGGTACCCTCCCCCAGAGTATCGTTTACTCGGTCTTTTCATGTGTTATGAATAAATCTTCTTTTTTTCTGTACCGGTACTAGTTTTATTTTGTTGTATTTATCCGCGACACATTAAAGGCTGGTCCGTGAAAATATTGTCGGGCATAAACCGGTCCGTGACTTACGGAGCCCCGCAGGGGACATGGGAGAAAAAAAAAATTAAGACTGACTTTTGCGAGATCTCCGCAAAAGTTGAATTCCAACAATGGCGGCAGCTACTTAGTTGTAATATTACTCTTTCTGGGTCACAAAATACACTTTTAAGATATTTTGAGGCGTGAATGTAGTTGTGTAAACGTCAGATACCTGCTCGGTTTACAAGACATCACATATTTGCAAAAGTGCTCCGACGTTTTCGGAGATCTGACACCCACTAGCTCGAAGCTAACGGGAGGTCGAGACCTACTACAGCTTTCCCGGCACATCGTACCTCGACCTCCTGGTCGGCTTCGAGCTGGCGGCCTCCGAGGAATGCGGCTAAAACATTTGTGAGATCCCGAGTTTGTTTTGCGAGATCTCGCAAATGTTTCTGCGAGATCTCGCAGAAGTCTGTCTTAATTTATTTATTTTTTCCTCCCATGTCCCCTGCGGGGCTCCGTAGTGACACAACAAAGGTTGGAGACCGCTGATGTAAATGACTTCAGAGGGTTTCAGGTGCTTTGGCTGTTAAAAGCATGAATCCAGACAGAGCAGAGGGCGCTGTAAACCGGGTTTTTATGACTTGATGCTGAAACTTGGAGCTTCCTGAAAACACAAATGTTCTGAAGCACAAACCTGCCTCTGACCCTGCAGGTGGAGGAGCACAACAGGGAGATGCAGCAGAGCTTCGCCCAGCGCATGGACGGCTCCTTCAGAGACGTGCAGCGCTGCATCCAGCAGCACGGAGACAAACAGCGCCACATGCTGAGCAGCTACTCGCAGGCCGTCGGTAAGAGCGCAGAGGTTTCACAGAGGCGTGGGTGACGGGCTGGGACGGTTTACTGCGGCTGCTTTAAGTTTGCCCGCCTGATGGTGACTCTGGTGTTTGTACTGTTAGTACTCGGTGGTTTTTTTCTTTTTTTTTTAAGTATGTTCTGAAGCGAAATACTGAACTGAAAAAGATGATTTGGTGTTTAAAACAACTCTGCGGTCTTTCCTGCGTCTCCGCCCTCTTTCCTGTGCAGACGGTTTGCTCGTGATGAACGAGGCGGCACTGAAGGGCGCTCTGACCACTGTGGAATCCTTTGTGGGCGGAGTCAGGCCGCTGGTGGCTGAGAGCGTGGCCCGCTGCGAGGAGAAGGTGCAGCAGAACGAGACGCTGTGTCTGCAGGACAAGGAGAGCGTGCTGCAGCTGCTGGTGAGTGTCTGAGCGCGCTCACGGCCGCGTTGTCCGCTCAGATCAGTGCTGTGTGACTAAAGAGTGTGTGTGTGTGCAGGAGGAGCACCGACGGGACATGGAGGAGGTGCTGGTGGTCCAAACTCTGATGGGTTTATCAGCAGCCAAAGAGCTCAACGACAGCCTGAGAGCTTCGATGGAGAAGCAGCGAGCGCTGGCTGACAAAGTTGGTCCACGACAGTAACATCCACACGGAGCAAACGTGGCGTACGCTCGATATCGGAGGCAAAGCTCTGATCTGATTCTTCTCGTTCTCCTCCTCAGGCGGAGGCAATGAAGGAGATGGGCGTGGTGTTCGACAGCTTGGTCCGAGAGCTGGCGGCAATGCGGGAGGCCGCCGTGCAGAGTCTGAGCGCCCTGCAGGCTGAACGCGACGAGCTGGAGGACAAGATCAGGCAGGCGGAGGAGGAAATCGAGCAGAAGGTGAGAGCTGATCGGTGTGGACCAGAGAGGGCAGCGAACCTCCGTCTGCTGGACGAGGACGCTGCCAGATGTCCTGGGGCCTGAAGTAGGGCTGGGCGATGTGACCCAAAATTCATCTCCATATTTTTAGCTGGATGGGGATATACGATATATATCTCAATATTTTTATTTTTTATTTAAGCCATAAAGTCAAAACAAACAGTTCTTAGTCAAAGCTGTGTCCCAGATGTCACAGGGGCACTTTTATTAACAAACAGCGTAGATGTTCATGAAAAAAAATTACTCAAATTATCAGCATTTATTAAATAATCATGCTCCATAAATAAAAGAAAACTGTTTTTGTGCATAACAAAGAGCTCACAACTGTGCAGTCAAAATGTAAACTAACAGACGCCGAGCATAATAACAAGCAGCTGCTCTGTTCCTAACTTGTACTGCGTGACTGACAGCCTGGAGTTTGAAATCCACTTCGTAACCACGTCTCTGAACAGGTGCCATTTATGGTCCTTATACACACACAGTACAGTAATATTACATTGAAGCACAGTACGTATCACTCGGCGAGGCTCCTCGGTAGCTGTAATGCTCCAACAACCCATCAGGTGGTGCGGCTCCGTAGCTTAGCAAAGTCGTACTGAAACATTTTTGACAGATTGCTGAGCGCCGTGCACATAAAATCGGTTTGCAGTCATCAAGCACAACCAGAATTCATACATAAGGCGCGCTGTCAACTTTTGAGAAAATGAAAGCATTTTAGGCCGTGCAGCCTCTCTGGGCTGCAGCCTGGTTAACTCGCTAACGGAGATTTGCCGTGTCCATCTTGTCGTCGCCTGCAGGTGAAGTTATGGGGGAGGGGGAGGAGTTGTGTTCAGTGAAGAAGAGGGGCGAGGCGGAGTAACGCAGCATAGAGGCAAACTTGCGGCTCCACAAGTATAATTATAACACAACATAGACTATACCGATTTAAACGATATTGTCACTTCTTATATTTGGTATAAAAATATATCGATATTTTAAAAAAAAAGAAAAAAGAAAAACTCAATATATCGCCCAGTCCTAGCCTGAAGCAGACGGTTAACTTTGGACCTGTGATGGTTTCAAGCCCAGCAGCACTGATCTGTAGTGGTTTTCGCTTCCATTTTTAAATCCACTTCAACAGCATTCAATGATCTGTTTGAGCTTGAGGTGCAGTCGGCGCACATTCAGCCTGTCTGCAGCCTCAACAACTCAAACAGGCGGAGATTTAAAGTTAGAATAACGGTGCACGGGATACATGACAAGGATGACGACAGATTCTGAAGTTGATGGGTGTGATTTGCATCGTGCCTCGTTTGTTCTGCCCTCGTGTGGCACAGTTTCATGCATTAACAGGTTTATCTGCCTTTATTACATCTGAGTGTTCACGCGCTGGCTGGTTCTGTGGGTCGGGTGTTTCTGACACTGCTTCCGTTTGCTTCGGTCAGGATATGAAGGAGACCATCCAGTGCCTCCAGGACCAGCTCAACCTGCTGACTGTGAAGGTCAAGAAGAAGTTCACTGGTCTGTACTCTGCCTCCAGAGGCCTGCAGAAGCCCCTGCAGAGCCTCCAGGAGGACATCAGCAGGTGAGTCGAGCACTAAACGGTCATGCAAAGTTTTTCTTCTACTGCACCTCAAAGTTCAGCTCCTGCATTGAAACCGTGTCTTTGTGGCAGAGGCTGCAGCACAGTCGAGCACCAGGTCTCGGCCCAGGCGGACCTCCTGTCTTCCTCCGCCTCCTCCCTTGTCTCCTCCCTGTGTCTGACCGTGGACGAGAGCCGGCAGTCTCTGGAAGAGATGTCGGGCTGCTGCTCCCACATCCACAGCTCCGTCACCGGTACAAACTCTTCCTCTCCTCTGTTGCTGCTCGCTGTAATCCCTCATCCACAGCACGCTCAGTGTGTTTGTGTCCCTGCAGGTCTGTTGGAGCGTGACCTCGAGTGGAGCTCCAGAGTGAAGGAGCACGCTGAGAAACGAGCCGAGGAGCACCTCACGCTGATGAGGAAGGTTGGCTCTGAAGCTCAGGACCTGCGTCAGGTGAGAATTCGAGGTTTTCTGTCCTAACCCCAACACAGAGCAGAGCCTCAGTTTAATACTGTAGAGACACGACCGTCATATCTTATTACCAAACCCGACGACTCTGAACTCTGTAAAAGTGCCTCCTGTCCCGCAGAGCGTGGAGGATTGCTGCTCCGAGCAGCTGCGAGCAGCCAAGGCAGATATATCCAACCAGCAGCAGGAGGTGACGCGAGCTCTGACGACTGTCAAGGATCAGACCTCCGTCGACTGGAGCGTCCTGGAGGAGCAGCGGGCTGAGCTCCTGCAGCACGTGGAGGCGAGCGAGCAGCTGGTCCACAGCTTCCTGCGGGACGAGCTGCAGGAAGACGTTCCCACTGGTGACAGATTTATTTTTCTGCCTTGAATTAAAAGTTAAAGTTCTCAGCAGGACATTAACCTCCTGTTGCCTTCAGGTGCGACTCCTCAGCGGCGGGAGTTTGTGTATCCCCGTCAGCTGGTGAAGTCTCGCCGCCGCAGCGAGCTGCTGGAGAGCCTGAGGAGGCAGCAGGAGGAGCTGCAGGCCGCCATGGAGGCGGAAGAAGAGGAGGAGCTGGAGGAGGAGGACAAGCAGACTGACCCGGTGAGTTTCAGAACATTTATCTTGGATCTGTGATTCATTTTCATTTAAATGTAAATAAACGTGATGTTTGGCCTCGTTCTTCTCTGCTGCATCATCAGGACTCGCTGGAGGACGATCTGAGCACGTGCAACGAGAGTCTGGCCACAGAGCCGTCCTTCATCGACGAGAACCTCGTCTTCAACGAGAGCAAGCGGGTCCCCTTCTTCAAGGTGAGGGGGAAGTTTGAAGCCGTGCAGCTGTTACTGAAAAAGCTGCTGAAGCAGCGACTGGGGGTCAGAGGTCAAGTGTTTAATACCAATGCACATTAAAGCTTGTTTTCATTCCTCTTTTCCAGAAGAAGAAAGGCAAAAAGGAGACGAAGTTCCCGTCCCGGTCTAAAGTGTCGGAAAACGAAGCGGAGTCGACGCCTCAGAAATCCAGACTGCCGCTCCGCTGTCAGAACTGAAACCTTATTTCTCTTTATTTTTAATAACTTTATTACTGTTTCTTCTTTTTTCTGACCTCTTTCATCTTAAACGTGTCCTCATGATCTGTTTTATTGTGGTTTGTGTCTCAGCACCTGCAAATTGTTTGTAAAATTAAAGATTTATTCTTGTTTTATTCTGCTGTTAATTATTCCATCTGCCACACTCGGCCAGCTCATCGGCTTTGTCCTCGGTTATGACGCCAGCACAGGACACGTGTGGCTCTCCTGGTTAGACGTTATGAAATGTGGCGTGGAGCGATGGGGGGGGGTAGAGTGGGTTCAGCAAAACCACGAAGAGTTCAAATGTTTTTGTCGGGTGGGCTGGAGGACACTGCAGCCTGTGAGGTTTCTTTGGTTTCATGACGTTTCACTATTTATGTTTCGTGGCCGACAGCAGCACGCTGTGTTACACGCCGTGTCTTTAACGCACACGGCCAGAACGTGGAAAACATTCACGTTTCCACAGGGACTCGGAGTAAACAGGAGCCCGGTGCTGATAGTCGTTCATGGAGTCCTGCTGATGTGAGCGTCTGTATAAAAGCAGACGTTGTGGGAGTTCACAGGTGGAGACAGGAGTTTTGAGTCTTCATTCATAAGTGGGCATCCCAGCAAATATACCGTGACGTCAGACTGCGCATGCTTAGAGAAACCAAAGAAAAACCCCGAGAATTCCACGAGTGAAAAAGAAGTCTGTCTGGTTTATGTTTTGAGAGGAAAGCACCAAAGTTTACTGCGGTTTTCCTCTGATGACGTCATTGCGGAATTCCCCCACTGATACGTGCAGAGTGCGCGTGCTTGTTGAGGGCGAGGTGGTACTGTCGCTGACCTTGTCCTGTTTACAGTAATATTTGTACTGCTTATATACACGATATACAAATATGATATTTATATTAGTGTGTCGTGTACGTGTGTGTGCGCGTGCGGAAGAAGAAAAACGTTAAATGATGGAGTTTGAAGTGTGAAATAAATGTGAATAAATGAGGTCATGTGACCGTGAGTCTAGTTTGAGCTGCTGTGTTGGCCGGTTACGGTATTTTGTAGCTCAGGTCGGACGGAAAGCACCCAGAGTTACTTTCGGTTTGTTCCTTCATTTGTTGTTGTGGATTCTGGACGAGCTCATTCTCTCAGTGTCCGGTGTGGAGGTGGGAGCTGATGTCCGTGTTTTTCTGGATATGAGGAGAGTTTCTCTCTTTCTGTGCTCGCTCTGTTTTTCCTGCTCTGATCTGTGAACATGGAGCGATCAGCTGATCTCTGCCTCCTCTCTTTGCTGCTCCTGGCCGTGCCCTGCTTTTCCCAGCCCGGGCTTATTCAGGCATACTTTCGGCTTGGAGACGCCCTGGTTCTGCAGCCTGTGCCGCCGGTCACTAAACGCATCACCAGCGTGGTGTGGAAACGCAACCACGACCTGCTGGCCGAGTGGGCGGAGGGAGAGAGTGAGGTGAGATACTACGGAGGGTTGAGAGGCCGGTCAGAGCTCAGCATCGGGACCGGACGCCTGCGCGTCAGCGCTGCGTCTGCAGAGGACGCTGGAGTGTTTTCAGTGGAGATCAACAACGAGCCTCAGAGCGAGCTCTACAGAGCTGCAGCCGTGGATGAGGTGCCCCAGCCTGAGGCCTTTGTGACACCTCTGGCCTGCAGTCAGGCCTCCTCTCGGTGTTTACTGCACTGCTATGGACACACTGCAGACACTGAGGACATCACCTACTACTGGAAGATGGGCGATGGAGAGTGGGAGGAGTCAGAAAAGAAGATAGAGATCCTCAATGTTAATGAGCTGCACCATGTGAGAACTTTCTCCTGCAGGATGAAGGACCCAGTGAGTGAGAAAGACAGCGAGCCCATCAATAATCCTTTTTACAGACACAGGATCCCACCTGACTCTGCAGGGTGGACAGGTGTGGCGGTCACTGTGGGCGGAGCTTTTGGAGCTGCAGCCCTGGTTTCTGTGGCTCTGTTTGCATTTTGTCAGAGAGAATTTATCCTGAAGACCATTAAGAAGCTCGAAGGCAGGAATTCTGTCCCACAGATGTCAGCGACGTGTAACTCTGTGTGAAGCGTCATCAGCCTGGGTTTGTTGTTTGTGCGTTAGAAACTGTGACCTGCTGCAGGAGAGACACACATGCAGATAAACTCACGGCAGCATGAATGTTTGTGTTATTTAACAGCCTCCTCTGTCTGAGCAGGAACTCTGAACTGTTCAGTGTTCTAGTGAAAAGAAACTGCTCAACTACCAGTAACAGATTTTTGATCTCGGTGAGATTTTCACCTGGATAAATAAAGGAATAAAAAAATCTCCTTGTTTTCTGTCCTCTGATTCTTCTGGAGCAGCTTTGCATGAGTCAGAGCCTCAGCTCTGAGCTGCTCTCAGGTTGCTCCCCATCATAGTATGTTTGTGAATGTTAGATGAAAAGCACTAGAGCATAGAAAGAGGCTGTGAATGAGGCAGCTCTGATAGCTGTCCAGGACCAAACAGCTGGTCCACAGCTGACCAGTGTTTGATTCAGCAAAGGTCAGAGGTCACTGAACAGACTGCTCTCCATCATGGACTGACTATCTATCTATCTATCTATCTATCTATCTATCTATGGGGAATAATAATAATAAAAATACCTCTAAGACAAATCAAAAACATTGGAACCTAAACCACAGACCATAACAGGCGAACAGCATATATGATACAGTGTTACAGTTCAGCGTCCACAAAAACAAGGATTTTAGAAGGTCTTACAGCATCATCTGTCCTTCAGCAGCCAGTTTCATTAATAACAAGCGCATGAAGTCATTATGTCACTTATCCATTCTGAAAGAGTTTAAATTAATTTTAATAATAATTTATAATTCCACTGCATCAGAGACAGCTTTACACATTTTGTAAAGATGTTTCTGTCATGGATACGGGAGAGGAGAGGACCCAAATACAGGGCACTAGCCTTCTTCTCATTATTATTAAGCTGATGGCAAAAAATAAATAAAAAAAGATATGAACAGACTCCACAGGAAGCAGACACAGAACAGGCCCTATGTGCAAAGATTTACAGGAACACATTCAGGCAGGAGAGGAGGCTTTTGTCGTGTCTGGGTGGGTACCTGCAGGTTTCCAACAGCAGCCCTCCTCCTTTGGGCGGAGATCGGTTGCTCCTCCTTGGCTGACCACCTGTGGGCAATTATTCCGGCAGCATATAAGACCTGCACACTCAAGCAGTCATGGCCTGAGTATCTGCTATCCCATGTTAGTCGGTGGTGTGTAATTGCTGTGTCCAGACCCTGTGTGAAAACGTTCCTGTCTTCAGAGTTGGCTCCTGGAGTGGGCTTCTTGCCTCAGTTATCTCTGCTTTTCTGGACCTGGGCCACCAGCTGCTGTTACAACGTTGCCAACTAGCCCACCTCTCACCTGCCTGCCTCCCCACGCCTCGACCTCATGCGGGCCTCGCGCCCCACCCGTGCCCTCCACCTGAAACCAAGTAAGGCAACTCAGTTTAACTGTGAAGGATCGCTGACTGACTGCTGGACCCCTCTGACTGTGCTCTCCTCTCATTACAGCGCCCCGGTCACTTCATAGTACTTTTCCGGCCCAGTTTTCTCCTCCCCACTGCCACAGCTGTTCTGCTGCATTCTAGAACTGTCTAGTTTACCTTTAGTTGACTTAGTTTTGACGGCGCGCCCACTAGTTAGTGGCGTCGTTTTGATTTGGCTTGTGTTTAATTGTGGGGAGAAATAAACCTTTTTTTTCACTCACTGTCTCGCTTCCGGTTTGGAACTTGTGTCCATCCCATTTACCTCATGTGACAGCTTTGTTCTTTAATCTCTGAATAGAAAACCAGAAAACCATCTATGCTTTTCTTATTGTAAATATTAAATTCACCCTGAACACTTCCTGCAGTCACTGTGTGGATGAACTGAAATACAGACATGTTTATAGGTAAAAACACATATTTACATATAAATACATATATGTATGTATTTACATGCACATAGGTTTCTTTCCTATGTGAGAATTCAAACTGCTCTGATCGTGGTTGCAACACTTCGGGCACCCGTGGAGGTCAGACACCTCCCCGTGGAGCCCTGTGTGTGTGTGTGTGTGTGTGTGTGTGTGTGTGGGGGGGGTTATGCTGTCATTATTGTCGCTGTTTTTCTTTAAGACTAATTTAGTTCTTAATACAGACGTTATGTGGCTACAGACAAACCATTTTACAATAAGTGCGGGACAATAGGACCGAGGCCTACTTTAGAGTTACTTTCACTTTCTAAGGAAACTCGATTCCGTGCTTTCAAAATAAAGCCGTGTTGCGTCGCTGTTCTGCTTCATTGCACATATAAAACATGAATTGTCATGTTAATAATATAAATACAATATCAGCGAGGATTGTTTTGACTGCAGCAATAAAGCAGTAAAACCTCAAACAGCGCCTCTGATAAACTCTTCTTTCTTTTTACATGTTCCTGAGGATTTTCCTGATTATGACGTTATTAAATTGGTACCTGATGTTACGCTCACACTAACAGCAGTGTTATATAGCTGTAAAAATAAGCTGTTTGCCTCTTTCTTCTTCTTTCATCTTCGCATTCAGGTTGCTTTCTTCTCCTCGTGGTGCTGAGGCGTTAGTTTGAGTGTTGTATTCACCTGTGTTGATCACTTTCACCTGCGAGCCTTTAAGGATTAGGAAGGGAAACCATAAATCCCATGGACAACAGTTGGATCCAACTTTATACAACCGAGGCGAGTTTTTGTTACTGACTTTCACCTCAAAGATCTCCAAATTAACTTTGACACTTCTGACAAAGAAAAGAAAAAAATTTATTAATTTATTGAGAAATATTACAAAATTAACAGATGTTTAATTTATCACCGAAACTGGTTAGAATATATGGCTTTAAATCAATGACTGTAGAAATAGGTTGAAATGCTTCAGGAGTATTTTATTGTGCTTTTATTATGAAAGTGACCGGTAGTTTCCGCCCTCAGTAGGGAGCGACGCAGCGGATTTGAGACGTTTTGCTCCACAGGAAGAGAAGGGCGGAGGTCTGTTTCTTTATCAGCGACTCAAACCGCCTCATGTTCGTCGGTTTTTACTGACCTGCCTGAAAAGATTTCGACGAGTGAGTTTTTATTGATGTGATCATCGATACTCTGTCACTCCTGTATTGATCAGTGGACATGGGTCGGTCTGTGGTTCTCGGAGCGCTGCTGGTGCTGCTGGTGGCTAACGTTAGCTTCTGTCAGGCCGAGACTGTGGAGAAGTACTTCAGGGTTGGTGGCACACTCCAGCTCAGCCCTGAGCCGGTCTATGGACAGATCACCAGCATCGTGTGGAAATACGGCAAGAACCTGCTGGCTGAGTGGGTGAAAGACCAGATTCCTCTGACATATTACAGCAAGTTTAGAGGCCGAACCACTCTGAACACTGACACAGGAGTGTTGGAGATCAGGAACATGACTGCGGCGGACAATGAGGTGTATACAGTGGAGATCAACAACCAGATCCAAAGTCGGGTTCATAAGATTATGGCGATCGAGGATGTGCCCCGACCTGTGCTGGAAGCGAAGCCGCTGTCGTGTGGCTCAGCCTCAAAGGACTGTAAACTGGTGTGTGAGGGAGACGCTAGCAAAGCCGGGCCTGTGGAGTACTTCTGGGAGAAGGATGATAGAGAGTGGGAAAAGTCTAAAGAGAACACCATGGAGATCATCAATGATGAGGAAACACAGCGTGTGAAAACTTTCTCCTGCAGAATACAGAATCAGTTTAGTGAGAAAGAGAGCAACGCCTTAGACAATCCTTTCTACCGGGAGGAAACGACCAAGGAGCCATCTACACTTGGTTCGGGGGCGATTGTGGGGATTGTTTTAGTCGTAATCCTATTGGTAGTTGCAGCTGTACTTTTACTGCTCTACTTTATTTGGAAACCATTCAAGAACATGGTTGATTCTTGTTTGTCCTGCAAGGAACAAGCAGATGCAGCGGGAACAACAACTGTTTATACCGCTGTTACTGCTACGAACGGAGGAGCTGAACAGCCAAAGAAGGAAGAGAACACTGAACCAAAAAGTGAACCAGAAATTGATCCCTAAAACAAAAGAATATGAATGAAATGAGAAATGTTTGATTTCCACAGCTGCCTGCATCTGGAGAGAGAAGGAAAACAATCCTGCAGTGTACAAACTGTCAGTTTATGAAGAAGTAATTTTATCTTCATACTGAAGTAATACCATCAGTACCACAGCTGGGAAGGACAGTTACAAGACATGTGTATAAAAGTGTTCTTAAGGTGGATCCGTCCTGCTCATGTTTATTCTCTGAATCTTTTATGGTGGCTTTGCATGATTCACAGGTCAATAATAATCCTTTATGTACTAACCCTTCATTTCATCCTCTGCCTGAAACAAGCAGACTAGCTCCTGTCCACGATCCACCTTTTTTACACGTATGATCAAAGCAGAACAGATCCACTCTGAAACATAAAATTATGACAATGCCAGAACAGTAAAGAAATGTGATGTTTGAGTTCAGTGCAAAGTGGAATGAGTGCTGTTCGCTAAATTCAATCATGTTGTGAGGCAATCATTTAATCACGAACGTGTACATCGCTGTGTTAAAGCCCTGATAACTTACATTCAATGATTTGTAAATGTGTGCTGTTGTTAGCTTTGTTGTTAGCATATTTTAGTGGCGTCATCCTTGAGGACAAACATGTGCAGAACTGTTTCAGAAAGTGGAAAAGGACGTTTGTGACGTCTGTGCACGTGCAGCGGTCACATGTTATGGAGACAAAGTGAGAAAAAGGTGCCTTTTAATGTCCCGTCACAGCCGCGGAGGCTGAAGGGCACACTGGACTCACTGTGTTGGATCACGCGTGTTTAAATCCACTCTGGAGCCCTGCTTCTCTGCACCTGAGAGGATGGAGGACGTTTTATGAAGCTCATCTCACAATCATGTACTCCTGTAATGCCCGACATGGCTATATAAGGACATGGCTCTACACTCTGTGCTCCCTTTTTACTTTTTATTTTTAAAGTTTGTCTTCCGACTCTGTCGTATCAGCTTCTTTACACATTGGCAGTTTGATTATTTATTAGAAACTGGTGCCTTTCAAAATAAACCTGGCAGTGCTACACAGACTCATGGTGTGTTATTTTACCTCCCAAAATCCGAGCGCGATAAAATGGACGCCCGGCTTAAGCGAAGCCGGAAGTGCGCGGTGGAATATTAGCTTGCGCAGATCCTTCCTCTCAGGAACGCGCACAGCTGCATGAATGTCTCACCTGTGATGGATTTAGAAGAAGCTTTGAAGCTCGTCGGAGAGTTTGGGCCCTACCAGAAACGAGCGGTGGCTGTCCTCGTCCTGACTCAGGTGAGCGGATGTGAAAATTAGCGTTTAGTTCGCGGGAAACGGCGGCAAGTGTGCGCGCAACGTAGTAGCAGTTAGCTTGAGTAGCGCATACGTGGCTTTCAGGGAATTAAACCGTGGACCCTCAACAAAACGACACATTTATGACTTAATTTAACACATTTTTTTTTATTACGGTTTCATTACTATAACACTACAACATCGAGCTGTAACTACAAGCTCACATTTTAGCGATGTACGAGTGCAGAAGGGCTGCTTTTCCAGGCAGTGAAGTGCTCTCCAGATTGCCTGCAAGAAACTACTAAAATAATGTTTCCTTGTGTCATGTCAAGTTGCACTTTACTCCTAGTCATATTTTGATTTTCTTTAGATATCTATTCCAGCCACCCTTTAATTCGGCCAAATATTTAAACTTGTAATAATCGTAGCTAGCCTTTTTATTGCCGCTGTGATTTGGCTACGCTAACGGGCACCTGTTATTTGTTTTACACGATTATTCAACCAAAATAGCGCAGACACAGCTCAAACAAAAGCCGACTCTTTTCTAAGCACCTAAAATATCCCAGTATAGAAAAAATATCTCCACACTTTGATATATAGTCACGTAAAAACCATTTAAGGACGGACTAGATTTTTTTAAAAAAATGGAGTTTGGTTTAAGCGTTAATCTAACCCTCCATCTAGCTAGATGTACTTCAGTTTACTCAGGCTTGAAGAAAAACACAGTTTCCATTATTTTGACAGGATTTATTTGAGGACCGACGTTAATGATTTGCACTGATTAAGCTGACATATATACATACATGATGCTTGTATAGGATATGTCCATATATTGTTTACATTGATAGTTTTTTTTATTGTGCTTCACAGATTTTACAGTTAGCCATATCACATTCCTTTTAAAAGTCATCCCTGTGTTCATAAGTGTGTGTTACAACTGGGAGGGCCCGTTATTTTCACCTGTGTAAGCAGGGACATTACCCCTGTGTGACTCAGGTGTCTAAGATGAATGCAGTCAGGTTTCGGTCCTTCTATGTGTGAACAGTTTTAACCCCACATTAACAAAGCCTCTAATTTTTATAAAAAGTCTGCATGTGATGACCCCAGACTGTGTGTCTGTTTGTTTCAGGTGTACATGGCCTGTCAGTCCATGCTCATCGTCCTGGTTGGTTTTACACCGGAGTACCGCATCGAGCATCAGCAGCAGGACGGCGTCCCTGTGAGCCAGCACGTCACCTTTACAGAGAACGTCGACTCCATCGTGACTGAGGTGAGAGCGGCAGACTCCTGCAGGATGCTCATCCGGCTAACCTGAGAGCCCACAGGTGAAACCTGCCTCCTGTCTCTGTGTTTCCTCAGTGGTTCCTCATCAAGCAGCAGGCCTACAAGGTCAGCCTCGCCGGGTCGCTCTTCTTCGCCGGGCTCCTAATCGGGAACGTCGTCTTTGGGCCTCTCTCGGATAAGATTGGCCGGAGACCCGTTTACCTGACAGGTGAGGTTGAGGCTGATGACAGTTGCATTGTTCATGAATACGTCTGTGATGTTAGTGAGCGTTCATGTTTTGCTGTTTATAGGTTTGCTGTATTTGTCCCTAAAGCTTGAAACTCTTGTTTTTCCTCTCGTAGCCCGGAGGCCACAGTTTTGACTGATAATAAAATGACATTATTCTGTGTAAACTGCTCGCTGACCCTGCGATTAATTTTTGGGTTTTTTAGGCTTCGGGTTTTGTATCACTCTGCTTCCTGTTGGAGGCCGGGCCCTGCACCAGCTACAGATTTCTGAGGGTTTCTTTAATCGCCTGCCAGACTCTGAAGCATCTGCTTGAAGATTTTGGAGATCTTCAAATGCACAAAGATAAATAATTATGTAGTAAAAGAGAAGGTTATCAGTCTACACAGGCGTGCTTCTTTTCTCGCATGGCTGCAAACCAACAGGCAGCTCACAGGACGTTAAACTTTATTTATAGAGCTCCAGTTTACAGCGACAGTGTTTTTCAGCTGTGTTGTGTTGTTAGTGGCTACAGTGAGAGACGGTTTGTTGGATTTCTCTGTGTTCACCTTAAAGCACTTTGAGCCAACAGCTGTTGTGTTGCTTTGTAAATTAAATTGAATTGGAAAAAGCAGAGAGCTGCAGCTGTCACAAGTTTTTGTAACTAATTTGTCTCAAATGTATCGAGTCTTTAGGTTTGCATTGTTAGGGGCGTGGCCTCTTTGACTGACAGGTAGCTGTAGCTGCTAGCTGTGTGCTCGGCTTCATCTCGGCTAAGAGTCCCTGAACTGGACCTGGACACAAATGTTTTGAAACGAGCTCACATGTTGCTGAGCACGACTGAGATAAAGGAAGAAACAGGAAGTGAAAGTCAGTCGTGTTATAAACTGGCACATTTTGAAGAGAGTTTGAGTTATTTTCTATTTGTTTTTTTGTTTTTTTCGGTGATTCTCCAAAAATCTGTCAGAAATTTAATGTAATCTTTGATTGCACATCTGTTAACGACTAATCGACCACGGCTTCATCTGAAAATCATGAGATCATTAGTCTTTGATCTTTATTTGCATGAATTTGGCTGCAGACTCTGTCCTCGGTGCCACAACAGGCCAAAAATCATTAAACTTTTGTGGTCTCCTGCTCGTTGTGCCTCAGTCTGATTGTGTCAGTGCTGCTGCTCATACGGTTCTGTTTTTAAAACTAAGATATAGAAGCGTTAAATCTGAATTTTTGCCAGAGGATCTGCTGCCTCGAGTCAAACGAATTCTTCTGTTTCTTCGGAGGCTTGTTGGACGTGTCTGCACATGACCACATCCTCATCTCTCGTGTGTTTCTCCTTCTCCTTGACTAAATGTTGTCCCTCTCCTCCTCCACCTCCTCCTCCACAGGCCTGTTCTTTGAGGTCGTCTTCGGCTATGTGACCGCCTTTGCGCCCAGCTATGAGGTCTTTGCTGCCTCTCGTTTCCTGGTGGGGCTGATGAACGGCGGCATCGGACTCGTTTGCTTCGTCCTCACGCAGGAGTACGTGGGCAAGTCCTACTGGGCCATGACGGGTAGGAAACCACCGGCACAGTCACATTATTTACTTGGCAGGGCTTTAATTCTAGGTGTTAAAGATTAATAATCTCGATCCCTCGTCTTCCTTCTTTCAGGGACGCTGACCAGCATGACGTTTGCCGTCGGCATCGCCCTGTTCGGCGCTCTGGGCTACTTAATCCAGCCGTGGAGGAGCTTGGCGACGGCGGCCAACTCGTCCGGCGTGCTCTTCTTCCTGCTGTCTGTGTGAGTGCACACCCCAGAGAGACGAGTCGCCCCACACAGCCACGAAAAACCAGTAAAGTTTGTGTTGGATGTTTGGAAGCATCAGGGCGACGTCGTAAACACACAGAGCTCGTGTTCTCCTGGGATTTAAAGCAGGAAGGTTAACAGTTTATTGACACGCTCAGCTTTATAGTGTTAATCTGTAAACACCACAGAGAGAACAGGCATCCAGGCTCTGCACACAAAGGCTGTGAAGCTTCCTGCTACAGCTCTGATCGTGGAGACTGATGGTCCAAACGGGTTCAGGCACTGTCAGGGCGCCTCCCTTTGGAGGTTTTCCAGCTGCAGCCAATGGGAGGAGACCCTCCCATTGGCTGAAGGAGACCCTGGGTTAGACTGGGAGAGATTACATGCATCTTGCTTGGCCTGCGATGAGCTCCGGACCCTCCTGCAGGAGCTGGAAGTGTGATTTAGGATGAATGTAAGGAATGTGGATGGAAAGGTTTCATACAGAGGAGGGAGGGAGGCTCCGTGTTATAAATACACTGGGAATCGTGCACAAAGTGTGGATCTTGTATTATTATGTTCGAGTTTTTGATCAGCACCAGATGGGTTTTTTTCCTCATCACCGTGGAAATGTGTTTACATTAATGAATCTGTGTGAAATAAATGCTTTGGCTGTTTCTGATTGTGACATTCAAATGTTTCTGCACTCGCTGTGTCTGTAAAATGAACCAAACACACCCAGTGATGTCTTCCTCTCGTCCTCTGTGGTTGCAGCACTCTTCCAGAGTCCCCTCGTTGGCTGTACTCCCAGGGCCAGGCGGAGCGAGCTGAGGAGGTAAACACGATGAAGCATTCCTGAGCCGCTCTGTGGGAATCTCCTGGGATTTAGAAAAATGCACCTCTGCATGTTTGTGTGAATCACAGATATTTAAAACTGAGAAGCTGAAAACGTGTGAACAGACCCTCCTTTACTCCGTTCATCAGGTGCTTTTAAATGTTTCAGTGAGCTGAGAAACCAGCTTTTAGCCTCAGTAAGCTCTCTAAAGGTTGGAGTCTGAAGCGCTCGTGATTAGATGTTTTCTCCTCCTACACTCAGAGGAGGTTTGGGCGAGGACGCTGATATCGTCTGACCTCAGTGGGGAAAAACCAGCAGGAAGCAAAAGGAGTGAGAATGAGGGGTTTGACAAAGGCCTGCACAGTGTTAGAAACGGTAAACAGAGGAGCGCTGTTCTGTCGAGGGAGAAAAGTTAGCTTTAAGTGTGAATGCATTTAATGCAGATAAACCTGCAAAGCTGCATTTGATAGAACTGCAGACTCCAGGTTCGAATCCTGACACTTTCCCTCTAAAGACTGGAGAGAAGTGCGAGCTAAAGTAAAGTCAGATCAATCGACCCGTTGGGTCTGCGCGTCCCGTTTCCTTTGCTCACTTTCAGGAACACCGAGCATCACGTGGCTGATCCTGGGTTCTGCTTTGTAGGTCCTGCGTTTTATGGCGAGCAGGAACGGCAACGCCGTGAAGCACCTGATGCTGCAGCGCGTTGGCGTCTCTAAAGCCGGTAACCACAAAAGCCGAGGCGCCGGCGTCCTGCAGCTGATCATCCACCCGGTGCTCCGCCTGCGCACGATGGTGCTCATGTATGTGTGGTGAGTATAAGGAGAGATGTTGGAGGGTTTAACCCTCGACTGACTTTAGAGGAACTGCAGCTCGGAGCACTTTTAATACCGCGTAGGTTTCTCCTGCTTTCATGTCCTATTTAATTACTAACTAATTAATTTTAGAGTTTGGATGTGTTTTTATAAGTTGAGAATCAGGAGCGAAGGCACATGTTGGCTCTTTTGTTTCTATGTAACTTCTGGGATTTAAACCCTGCACTTCCTGTTTTCTAAACCGGCGCTGCGACTGCGTACGAGCATTTGTGACGGCCGTCCTGAAATTAACTTTTGTAGTTCTGCTGTAAATTTGGTCATTTTAACGTTGCAGGACTGAGTTTAAAAGTAAAGTCTCAGAAACTGTTTCTGCTCCACATCAGCTGATCAGAGTTAGTTCAATTAACTGCGAGTTTATTTCCCCCGATTTAAGCACCACCCTGGGATCTGACCCGGACATGGTTCAATTCAATGTTATTTACACAGCGCCAAATCACAACAACAGTCGCCTCAAGACGCTTTATATTGTAAGGTAGACCCTACAATAGTACATGCAGAGGAAGGAAGGAAAAACTCCCTTTTAACAGGAAGAAACCTCCAGCAGAACCAGGCTCAGGGAGGGGCGGGGCCATCTGCTGTGATTGGTTGGTGTGAGAGAAGGAAGACAGGATAAAGACATGCTGTGGAAGAGAGACAGAGGTTAATAACAAGTGTTTACTGACCCGTCATGGAGGCTGTGACACTTTGGGGCGGATCTGGTTCTGGGTGGAGCCTCTGAGGAGGATTCAGGTCATTTTCAGACTCAGACTGTGGCTGTTAAACGTTTGATATGATTTAATGAGTGAAATGTAATCAGATTACAATCAGACCATCTGCAGGATACTTTTTAAGTAAGAACTAAATCTATTTAAAGTCATTTCAGCCTCATCTTCACTCAAATGTTCCCATGAAAGATCCAACAGTGCCACATTTTTCCATCAGTGTGACTGATTAGGAACAAATCATTGATTATTGATCAGTGATGGGTTTATAATAACGAGTCTGCCGTGTGCTCGTACATTTGGAATAATGTCCACACCCACACAGCTGTGACGGTGCCTCCTTTAAATCTTTATTAAAGCATTTCTTCTCCTTGGCGTTCGGCTCCAGCGTGACATCGTTTATTCTCTGCTTTGACTTTTAAACATTTTTGTCCCATTTTATTTCTTGTTGTTTTATTGTTGCTCTATAAATACATCTGACCTCGTCCTCATCTCAGGGTCACACTCAGCGTTTCCTGGAAGTCGCTGCTTGATGACATCCTGCAGGTGTCAGAGATTATGACTCATGAGCACAGGGTTGCTGGTTTAAATCCTGCTGCTATGAACAAACACAGTGAGTGGGTGATAGTTGATAAGTTGAGTAAATGCATCCCTGCACAGACGTTTCTTGTTCTTTTAGTTTGTGTGTGAGCTCTGGTGTCGGTCTGTATTTCAGGCTCGGTAACGTCAGTGTCGCTGTGACTGACGCTCATATTTTTATCACTTCTATCATCATCATGCTGCTGATACTGAAAGTGCTTCTGTTTCCACTGCAGTGACTGAATATTCTGTTTCAAATACATGCTCTCTGCTGTCAGCACAGGCCTGGAAGTCTTCTTCAGGGCTTTCTGTCCTCCTGTTATCTCCCGAGGAGCTGATGTGATTGGGTTGCTCTTTGTTAATGTCATCCAAACCCAGAGTGCTTTCTCCTGGATAATCTGCTGCTCCACAAAGGAGGTTGTTCATTTGTGATCTTTTGTCCAAGTTTAGGTTTTCTTCCTCGTATCACCAACACCTACTTTCATCTGCAGAAGCTTCATCGTCAGCCTGTGTAACGGTAATCCATTCAGAGTTATTCCATCTGCATTAGAGATTAACTCGGATGTCAGGGCATTAAAGCTGGTATGGACCCCGTTTACAGGTCACCGTCCTAAAGATCAGCTGATCAGCACGTTTTATCACACTGACAGTAGCAGGTTTATTGACACATTTGGTCAGATTTGATGAAATTGTCCGGTGAGGTGCAGCTCGGTCTGTTTTTAGGATTATTCTCTGATTTGTCATTTTAAATGCACGTCAGAAAGAAATGGGCGAAAGGTTTAAAACTAATCTGGATCCCAGAGATTCGTCTGGATGCAGCGACTGCGTTCCTGCTGGGTGACCCGAACTAGGGGTGGGCGATATAAACGATATAAATTTGGCCAACGATAGAGATTTTGACTATACCGCTCTAGCGCATGTTGATGATGTCATCAAACTGCGCCTGTTTCGGTCGAAAGCATCGCAGCGGCTACAACCATCATCATCTGCAAATTATGGCGGGCGACAGTCAAGCAAAGAGATGAAGCACTTTTGAAATATGGGGAAAGCCAAAAACTGCGCTTCCTCCACTTCCGTAACATTGATTCATTAATGTTGAATTCTCTCGCAGCTACTCTGTTCCCATGTTGTTGCAGTATATTAATAACTAACCTCGTATTGTGGATGAATAATCTCAGTTGTTCTCCTGACTGAAGTTTGGCCCGTGTACAGCATCCTGCTATGCGATTGCATTTGTCCCTGACCACCAGAATCCCTCACGTTAACTTTTATCGAGTGGAAGAAAAGATGGCTTCATCCTCCAGCTTCAGTGTGCTAATGTTATGCTAACATAGCTGTGTCGCTAGCAATCATGTAGCACAACATTATATACCAGGTAGTCCAACTTCAGTAACCCTGCAAACGCCACTGCTGTTTAGTTTTCTGTCTTCATTTATGGCGGAAGTGATAGCAGAGCTGTACGTTTTAGTTTCAAAAATCTCTCAGTCAGAACATGGTATGAAATGTTTAGGTGGAAGCTAGCGAGCTAACTTCCTGTTAACTTCTAACTCCGTTAAATTTAATAACTTCTGTTTTCATGGATGCCTGGATGTTAAACTTAATTGTTACACCTGGTAAAGCAGCAACGCTGATGATTTTATTAAAGATGAAAGAATTTAGACCGCTTTTAACTCTCAGTGCTGTTTGACTTTGGGACCTGAAACGGACGGAGTTTTGGACCCAGATTACTCCGCGATCCATCAAGCAGTGCGGCTTACCAAAGTTGTACTAAAACATTTTTAACAGATTTCTGCAGCCAAAATCGGTTCGAGGTCAGTAAGCACAACCAGAATTCATACATAAGGCACACTGTCGATTTTTGAGAAAATTAAAGGATTTTAAGTCCTTATAGTGTGGAAAATACGTTATACAGAAGAAAAGAATATATCATGATATATATCGTTACCGCACATGCTTAAAATTATATCGATATGAATTTTAGGCCATATCGCCCAGCCCTAACCCGAACAAACCTAATGTGGGGCAAAGGGAATGTTTGTTAGGGACATGTCAGAGGTTAAAGGTCGTCTCATGTGTGTTGGCTGGATCTAGTTTGGATGGTGCTGAGTGTTATGGTGAAACTCCAGCCTAGGGTGAGTCCTGTATGTGGCCATGGTTGCAGGGTGTAAGCTAAGGCGGAGGCCGTTGGATGTTTCCTGTGCAAATGCCTAGAAAGGAACTGGTGTGATTTTTAGGCTTAGGAGATTATTACCACAGCTTTTTGTTGCAACGTCTGTTGTGGGTTTGTTTTTTTTAGCTAATCTTTAGAGAAAACGTGTCTGTGGTGGATTCCCGGCTGTCGGGCTGCTTTCACCTCTTGTGAAAGAATAAAGAGCACGAAGAAGAAGAAGAAGAAGCTGCTTGTGTTGGAGGCAGAGAGAAACTTTGTGGGTTGAATAAGCATCCACACGTAGGCTGTGTCACTGTGGAAATTCTAACAGGAACAGGAAGTCTGTGTTTCCTGGCACTTCTGGACATTCCACAGAGTGAGCGCTTTGATAGGAGCACCTCTTGAAGGCCAAAACACAAAGAGTGCAGTCATACCATCATATGTTATCTCATGGGAGTAGAGGCATGTAGGTCATGTAGTCCACACCTCCAAACATCCAGCTCGCTCCTCTTTTTGCTTTAGCTTTGCTCCTCTTCCTCACTTCTCTTCGGTTCATCTCCTTTGACTTATTGATGCACACAGACTCGGTCGGGCGGTGCAGGGTGACGCTTCGTGATGGAAGCTGAGCCGTGTTGTGCTCTCATGTGTCAGTCTCTGTACGCTCCTGCATTTCCTCTTTTCTCTGCAGTAACAGTTGAACCTGTTGTTTCTGCTGCTGCTCGGCGTAACCTTTAAATAAACACGTTCATAACTGAGCCGCTGCAGTTTGGGGTTTGTTGCCATGTTTGGATCCGTGCGTCACACCTGCTGCCTTCGTCCCTGAGAAAAGGCTCTGACGCTGATCTTTGCTCAGCTTTTACACTTTCTGTATCGCTCACAGACTTCATCTCTTTTGCTTTTGTGCTCAGTTTGAGTTACAGCGTCAGTGCTGCAGGCCTCTAACCTCAGCAGCTGATTCATTCTTTTAGAGAAGTGGAGCAGCTCGGGCTGACTGATTTTTCCCACACTGCAGACCTTTTGCGTCTTCTGACGCGTTTATAGCAAACAGCAAAAGGTCGAAGCTGCTGAACGGACACAGAGTTAGCACAACAAACAGGATTTCACCTTAAACACGTTTGCTCTGCTCGTCCTGTGAACACATCTTTTAATGACTCACACGCAGTCGACCTGCTGACGTTCTCCAGAAGATCCCAGTGATGTGAAAACATTTCTGAAGGATTATAAGGAATAAAAAGACAAAATAACCCTTAAATTAAAACAAGCCAAATCCGAATTTAACCATAAAATAAGTAGAAATGATGCAGGACGGCATCATTGAAATCGATACCAATGATCAGTTTTTTCTTCTAATACACTTAAACAACCACATGAATGTGAAACAAAAATGATCTGAAGGTCTTATACTGGGGGTTTTCCAGTATTTCCAAAAATATAAAATGCATCACAGAAAAAGAAGTTTAAAGAGAAGTAACAAGCGGAAGTAGCTAAATAAAGAAATCCTCAAATAAGTAGGCGTGTCCTGCACAGTCAGCAGAAGTGATGCTGCACAGTCGTTTCTTTGCTCTGTTAACGAGTCGTCAGTTTGAACAGTTTCAGGTTCATGAACTCGTTTGTTTCTTCTGTCTTTTTCAAATATTATCAACAAACATTTTGTGTGTGTGTGTGTGTGTGTGTGTGTGTGTGTGTGTGTGTGTGTGTGTCAGGTACGCCTGCAGCCTGGTGTACTACGGGCTGACTCTGGGGGCCGGCGAGACGTCTGGTAGCCGTTACGTTAATGTGGCGATGTACGGCCTCGTGGAGCTGCCGGCATACCCACTCTGCATATACTTCATCAACAAACACTGGTGAGACACACACACACACACACAGATGACACTTGCTGTGTGATTTTAACTGTGACCTGTGAAATATGTGAAGAGGATGGTTCCCGCCACGCTCCTACCTTTGGTGTAACTGTAGCTGTGAGCCGGCGTCCTCGCTCAGCTGTAATGTGAGCTGCTGCTTTTACTTGACGGATGTAGACAGCAGTAAGAAAATAATTTAAAATAGATCCTACATCAAACAGGGTTCATTGATTTTATTTATTTAACCGAGGGAAGCACCGGTGCCTCTGCCCGACCCTCCTCCTTGCAGCCCCTCCTGGAGGTGGCTGCTGGTCCTGTGTGGTAGCATGAGCCCTTGGTTCATAGAGGTCTTTTAGATCATGTTTAGCCTTTCACAGCGACCAGTTTGGCTTAGGAGACTTTATCAGGAGCTTCCAATGAAACAGGTCTGGGATCAGTCAGGCCCCAAACCCCTCGCAGCTCTCTAGGGTTCATACACCAGCGTGCCTGGTCAGAGAGTGAAGGTGGAGCTGTGGATTTACTGGCTGATCTACGATCCTGCCCTCAGCCGTGGCTGTGAGCTGTGGGTAGTGACCGACAGAACAAGACTGAGGATGCAAGCTTTAAATGAGCTTCCTCCACAGGGTGTGTGACTCAGCCACAGCAATACAGGGATGAGCTCTGAGCAACTCGTCCAAAAACAGCCTGTTTGGATTTTAAATTGTTAGTCAAACTTTTTGAAGCTGCGCTCGAACTTCTGTGGAACCTGTGTGGAAAACCTCACTTTGCTTCCTGTTTTCTGTTGGTCTTCCTGCTGCTTACTCACTAACTCCTGCATGAATGTCTCGTCCTGCAGGGCTGGGCGGAGGAAAAGCATGGCAAGCTTCCTGTGCCTGGCTGGCTCCGCCTGCCTCTGCACCACCTTCATTCCTGAAAATGCAGGTGAGGCTCTGATATTCGACGGCACTGCAGAGGAATATGTGCAGCTGCAGGAAGTAGTCGTCTTCAGACATGTTTGCACTGCTCACGTTAGGTAACACCTACAAAGGTACCGCTCTGCCGGTGCATGTATGAAAGAGCCTTTGTCAGCCTGACAAGTCAGTGACTTCACTCTGAAGTAAAGAGGAAGTGGAGATGAAACCTGCGTCTGTAACATATTTCAGTCCAGTGGAAAAAAAACTGCAAAAGGCTTGTTTAGGTGTTAAACACTTGGCAAAAAATACTGATTTCCATATGCATGGATAGAAGTGTCACAGTGTGTGATTGTTGTGTAAGCAGAACAGAATGATAGTTATGCCTCGCATAGTGCAAGACATGAAACAGGTTAAACCAGCACATCTTTGCACCTTTCTGCTGCCGGCTACACATGCTGTGTTTGGAATAGCGGGCGAACTGATGCACATTTCATCAGATAATAAACTGCTTGCATTCTTAAACATGAAGCAGATTTTATTGTAATATTTAATAAATTGTCTTGTGTAAATAATAAACCACACAGGTTGCATGAAAACATTTTTGGTGCTGCAGATTTGTAGCCGTCAGTTTAAGGGTTCAGAGCTGCAGGTTTGTGACATATTAAGCTCCTCGGGGAGGGAACGAGATGAGTTTTTGCTGTGAGGTGAACAATCAGAACAAGCTCTCAGTTTGAGTTTGTGTTGGCAGGAGCTTTGCTGAGTGTGACGTCGTTGGCGCTTGTGGGAAAACTGATGGTCAGCGCAGCGTTCAACATCGCCTACGTCTACACGTCCGAGCTCTACCCCACAGTCATCAGGTGAGCCGGGTGCATATTTACGTAGTTTCTGTTGGTCACATTCATAAAAACGTTGCTGTTAATGAGACCTGGGTGGGCGTTCAGTCGGCGTCCAGGAACAAAATATTGAGCCTTTTCTGTATGTTGGGTCAAAGCTAACTGTAGCATCAACACAAGCTCAGAAAGTTTTAGGAAACGTCTTCTCTTTTAATCTGAAACCGACGGGATTAAAGCTGCTGAGATGCCTCCAGAGTTTGTAAATGTCTCATTTCGGTTGAAGCCAGATTAAAAGCGTCACACTGGCACAGACGGGACCTTCAATTAAGTGATACTTCCTGTGTTTTCAAAGTCAGCGTGTCCTAAAGCTGTGCGCTCGGACTGATTTTAACGTGCACGGATTGTTTGTTTCAGGAACGCTGGGCTGGGAGTTTGTTCCATGTCCTGCAGAGTTGGAGGAATCCTGGCACCGTTCGTTCCTTCCATGGTAAGGCTGTGAGTGTGAGAGAGGTTAGGAGTAAATGCTCTGGAAAAAGCCTGAGCCAGCAGCAGGAAGCACTCGATCTGATCTTCAGAGCCACTCAGCAGCTCTCAGCAACCAGCAGACGTTTAAATGTGAGTTTAAAATGCAAAACAGTGAAATATGTGAGCGCGACCTGTGACTGTGGGAGGCTGGTGTTTGCACATGAAGCTGTGAGCCTGAAAAGGCAGCAACCAGCTCCCCGTTTGCAGTGGTAACAGTATCACTTCCTTTTTCAGCATTTCCTGCTTGGAGCTGTTGTTGGCATGGAGATCAGATCATTAAAAACAGGGTTTAATAATAAAAAAGGAGGGAAAGTGATGATGAAGAAGGGCATCTGGTAGCTTGTAAATGTTGTTCTTTTAGGAGATTTTATTTTGAAATGTATTTTGTGCATCTTGGTATAAATATTTTAGCCGGTGTGTGCAGGGGCGAGAGGACGAGGCGCCCCGTTTGCTTCGTGCGGTTGCATTTATGCCTCATAGTAAAAGTATCAGCGAGGCCTGTGGGGGTTTCCGGCTCAGGTTTCTTAAAGTGTGAATCTTTGCATTCGACAGCTCATCGGCTTCTTGCTAAAGTCTTGAGTTATTTATACTGGAGGGCGCGGTGAGCTGGGAGAACGGTTGGCCTGTCAGTGTTAGTGTGATGTCAGCCTGTGGTCAAACATCCATGCTTTCTGTACTCTGAAACGAAGCAGGGGAATTTTAAAAAGTGATAGACGGCGAAACCTCAAGTGTGCCAACGTCCCCTCCACCAGCCCTGTCGTCTCTGTGGATGCAGCTCGTTTTTGTTAAAGGAAGGAAACAGTGTTTGTACTCAAACTTCAGAGGGAGTGTGCGCAGCGCCACAGAGGCATTCAGTGTTCGCTGGCTGTTACGTCTCAATAAGTGAAGCATTTCCAAAGTGAAACCATAGAGACGCTGAGGGGAAAATCTGTTTGGAGCTTTTAATGACTCCCTGACTGAGTCGCCCTGACTACACCCTGCTGGGTGCGCGACGTCAGAGGCCAAAAATGCTGGAAAACGCAGCCGTGATCTTGGAAAGTCTGCTGGACTTACTGTCCTACTGTGGTTTTGATCTGTGTTAGGCTGTTTCTGCAAAGTTCTAAGGAAACTGAGTTCATGCAGCTCGTCTGAGTGACGAGGTCACACCTCATTCCAGGAAATCGTTTGCATTCACTGGCTGATGCAGTTTTATTAATGACCTCACCGATTCACACATTCCTGATTAATGTGTTGCAGGTTTTCTTGCCTGAAAGTTTATCCGTAATGATTTATCCGCCCTCGTGCACCGTCCTGCTGTCTTTAACCACAGGTCTGATTTATAAACACACGCTGTGCTTTGTGTACTTCGTACCTGCTGCGTTTCGCTTTCACACGAGTTAAATTTCTAACAGATCAAAGTGTGTAAACATGTTAGTTTCACAGGGAAATAAAATCCTGTCAAACAGTCACATGTGACACATGAAAGTAGAAAATGACTGTTTCGGTTTCTTCTTTTAATGTGTCACACTGACCTTTGACCTCGTTTTGTCATGTGCTCCAAACCTAAATAAACAGTGACCTCTAGTGGTGATACAGGGAAGCTCAACGAACAGGCGTTTACAGAAATCTCAGCTAAAAAGCTCTTAATGTTCTTCTTTTAAAAATATATGTAATCTCCTGCAAGAACAGCGTCTGCAACTTTCTGTCACAGCTGCAGTTTCCTGTTGCCGTGGCAGATAATTTACATTTATTATTTGCATTTCAGAAACAATTAAGAAAACAAAATACCGAAGCTGTGAAAGCAAAGTCGACCGTGTCTTTTGAAGAGCCTTTCTTTCCATAAAAGCACGATTGATAAACCTGAGTGTTGATCGCGTCCTCGTGGCAGTAGATATTCGGAGCCCGAGCGCGGGACCTTTAATCAAACGGCTCATCCAGGCTGTGGCGTTTATCTGAACGGATGAAGGTCGGCTTTTTACCCACAAACCTCAGCTTCTCATTCGTTAATGGTGTTTTACAGAGTGTGAAGGCAACACTCACAGACGCAGGAAAACCTGACCTCGGGAGGAGCAAACGATACGAGACAGATTACATTGCGAAATGTTGGCACGAGGGGAAAAACGAGCGACTCTCATTGTTGTGGAAAAGGCCGGCGTGTTTTTAAAAATCTCCCATCGTTTTTCGTGCTCACGAGATTTCTGCAGAAAGTAGAGATCTGTGTCACTCGGTCTTATCCTGAGATTTGCTGAAGAAGAAGATTTTGCTCAACAAAGTAAAAACAAATATTTAGTTTCACAGTTGGATGTGATTTCATTTTCTCAGTAATCTTGTAGGAGGTCCGATTCCTTGGAGTGTTTTTGTAGGAACTGGAGACACGTTATTGAATCACATCTTAGTTATTGCTTTCTTACTTGCACTTTGTCCCCAATAAACATCACACAACTCCAAATGAGTCTGAGTGCAGACTTTATCTGTGCTGGCACATGCAACATTATGTGACAGCAGGAATCTCTCCACAGGTCGAGGCGGAGTGCCACATCTGTCTAACCAGTCCTCCTCTTTTAGCTCCGATGCTGCTTTGCTTCTTTTTCAACCTTTTTATTAAAAAAACACACTTTTTTTAATTTTATCCGCCAGCAGGACATAATTAAGGATCTTTTCAAACAATTTGCTCTTGATTTATGTTTTGATCTCACTCTTGGACCTTCTGATCAGTGTGTGTGTAAATATTCACTGTGTAAACACACGGGCTGAGGGTTCAGACAGTAAAAGGTCCCGGTTGTGTGTCTGTGTGTGTCGCAGCGGGCCCTCCATACCTCCATGCCCTTCACCGTGTTCTGTCTGAGCGGCCTGTCGGCGGCCTGTTTGGGCCTCCTGCTGCCGGAGACCCTGAACAGACCAGCAGCAGAGACGCTGGAGGAGCTGGGCAGCCCGGGGCTCGGCCGAGTGCTGGAGAGCAAGGTGAGGCACCGCTGGGTGTTTGTGGGACGTTTCTGTTTCTACAGCCACAGCCGACGATCAAGTAACATAAAACCAGACGGTTCAGTCTGACAGATTTTGTTTTCTCGCTCATGTCCTTGTTTCCTCTCTGTCTGCAGCCTCTGTTGTATGAAGATGAAAGCTGTGCATCGACCCACAAATGAAGCCGGCGGCCTCGTCTTCGTCGCTCAGAACCGCAAACGGTCCCGTTAATTAACGGTTTCTGAGCCGTCGTTCACTGCAGGAAGCGAAAACGCCGTCAGCTGACCTCGTAGGAAGACGCAGCGTTGTGGTCGATTCCTGAACGCTGCGGTGGCGAATTTAGAGACGGAGGGCTGAGAGTCATGATCCGCTTTACATTCCAGATCCTGGGAATTTAACAAGAGGGACCAAAAACCTTTGACAGCTCCTGAAGCCCGACAGCATTTCCTCCAGTGACGTTTTTAGACTTCTGCTGCTTCAGGAGGAAATGTGTTAAAGACTCTCCGCACCAGAGGACACCCGCTTACAGTCACTACAGTTTACACATAATCAGATTATTTATGTCAGCTGTGATTTTCTTCCAGACAGGAACTATTGTCATTATTTTCACTCTGATTTAACGTGGTCAGAAACGTCCACATGTGTCAGGCTCAGACGATCCATCAGCTTCTCTTACCTCGATTTATCAAACACAAATAAAAACCAGGCTGGTTTAATTTAACTAAATAATCAAACTCACTTTTATTTACAGGTTTACAGAAACATTTTAATGGATTGAATAATGAAAAAGAACTAAGTGTAAATATATGAACTGAGCAGCTGGAGCTCAGCTTCCTGTTTTTCTACCACGACTCAGCCGAGCAGCAACTTCGCTTTCAAAGGGTCAATTAGAAAGTTTGAGCAGCTCATGAGAAGCCTTGTTGGATCAGCTCGCCTCTTTCCAGACGTGACGAGAGCAGAAACCAAACTAAAGCTCGCATCTTTCCCATTGGCTGCCCCTCATAAACAGAGCCTTTACCCCCGACCCTTTAAAACAGCAGCTTTCAACGTGTTTTCACTGGTTTGGGGTTTGATGGTGGACGATCTTCAGGCAGCTCAGTTTACGATGAATGGATTATATTCCCATCACTTTAATTCGCATTAATCATAATAGTTTTTATTATTAAGCCATTAAATGCAGAGCGTGGAATATGTAGAACAGGTCGGGGGAAGATGTTTGGTCCTGGACCAATCGTGTTTGAGTGTTCGACTGCACCCATGAATATCTGTGTGGGGACAGAAAATTTATGTTTATAGATTCATTAATAAACAAGGGAGAGGATGGAGCAGGAAGCCTGGTGCGGGAACGACCCAGACGTTATTCCTTGTTCCCAAACAGCAGCTGATGGTGATCATGTGATCGTCTGTGGGCTTAGTGTTTTCATGTGTTTATCTAGGTAAAATCACCAGCTGTTTTTTAACATCAAGGACAGATGTTTTCCTTTTTTTCATTACTTAGTCCTTTATCTGCTGATTTTTTACTTTTAAAGCGTCCGGGAGAGTCGGAAAAAACATCTCTCAGATGTGACGATGACGATGGTGAACCTAGAAAACCAGAAACAAGAAAAGTTGATGTCCTAAGAATCTGTTTTGTTTCCAGGTTTTAGATGATATGAAATGTTAAACGAGTGAAAAAGCAAAGCTGTACATTCGGTGTGAGGGACAATCAATTAAGGACAGGTTGCACACTGCAGCTCTGCAGCCTGGAGATCGGGCAGGAGCTGAAACCGGTCCTCGGATGTTTCCTCTGAAGTTCAGGACTGTGAGGCCAGTTTGATGCCGTCGTTTTACAGTCTGCTTCGTTTCCTCTGTAACGTGAGAGACGCTGCCATTGGAGGAAAACTTGCAGCGATATGATCTATAAACATATTTAAAAAAAGGAAAGAAGCTCTGTGTTCTGCAAAGTTTCTTAAATGTGATTACTTCCTGTTTTTATTGATGTTGGTGTGTGTAACACACTCACGTCTGTATTCGTGCTGAAAGAGGCCGTCGGGGTCCTCGCCTTCAGCTGATGGTAATTAAATGAAAGTGTTCCAGCATCCCTCCTCCTCCTGCCGTGCCTTCGACTGCAGCCTTTTACTGTGAAAAAGCACTTTGGAAAGTGTTAAACATCATCTGCCTGCAGATGTTTGATTCCCTGCTGTAAGCACTGTGTGCACTCTGTACATAGACGGTATGCACAGAGATAAATGATGCTCATGAACTGTTCTCTCTGTGATAAAGACAGTAAACACTTGAAAACTTCCTCGTCTCGTTTTTTCACCGTGAGGCAGATAAACGATGATTATGTTTCACTCTGCGGTTTAACTTCAGGTTCATTAGAAATGTTCTGGTTTGTGTCCTGATGCTGCTTTTCAGCAGAATTTATCCCCAGCAGGTCTTTAACAACAGGACTGTTACAGGTCGGTTGGTGGATATCGACACTCGGGGCTGACCGAGGAGACGTGATGCTGCTTCAGAACGACCATAAAGGGTTGCAAAGCTGTTTTAGGGCTCACTTCCTTGTTTCAAACGCCCACCAAAGGAAACCACAGATGGGACAAAAATAAAGACATCTGCACAGACCTGTCACTTCTGTGTTGATCTGTGAACATGGAGACATCGGCTGGTTTCTGGCTCCTCGCAGTGCCGCTGTTAGTCGGCTTCACTCAGGCCCAGACTGTGGAGAAGTACTTCAGGGTTGGTGAAACACTCCAGCTCAGCCCTCAGCCGGTCTCTGAACGGATCTACAGCGTCGTGTGGAAATACGGTAAATACCTGCTGGCTGAGTGGGTGAAAGACCAGATTCCTCTGACATATTACAGCAGGTTTAATGGCCGAACCACTGTGAACACTGACACAGGAGAGTTGGAGATCAGGAACATGACTGCAGCGGACAATGAGGTGTATACAGTGGAGATCAACAACCAGATCCAGAGTCGGGTTCATAAGATTATGGCGATCGAGGATGTGCCCCGACCTGAGGTGGAAGTGAAGCCGCTGGTATGTAGCTCAACCTCTGAGAGATGTAAACTGGTGTGTGAGGGAGATGTTAGCAAAGCCGGGCCTGTGGAGTACTTCTGGAAGAAGGATGATGGAGAGTGGGCAACGTCTGGAAAGAACACCGTGGAGATCATCAATGATGAGGAAACACAGCGTGTGAAAACTTTCTCCTGCAGAATAAAGAACCTGTTTAGTGAGAAAGAGAGCAACGCCTCCAACGTGTTCTACCGAATAAAACCAGCAAACAGTGACGACCTGCACTGTGGACTCTGGGTTACAACTTTAGGTGCTGTGATGAGATCTCTGGCGATCCTCGCACTCTTTGTGGTGGTTGTCTACTTTCTGTGTCAGAAACTACAGACTGGCTGTAAATGCAGAAAAAGTGATGATGCTGTTTGAAATGAACTGTCGCCTTTGACTTCCTGATGAAGAGTAAAGCACATCAGCTGTACTGAGAGGGAAGTTCATGTTTAGCTTTGTTAAACTGCTCTGCTGCATTTCTACAGTAAACATTATTTAGCATACAGTTATAGTCAGCCATGTTTGTAGTTTTCTTTGGTCTTCTCTGTCTTTGTCCTTGTTTTGACCTTATTTTGGTAATCAGTTTTTTTTCACTTCCTGTCTTTATCTATTTTTACTTTGTTCAGTTAGTTTTGCTTCTTTATTTCTGTGTATTTATACTTATGTATTTCTCTGGTATTAGTGTGTTTTCCCACATATGCCCGTCATTCCTGCCCTCTTATTTATCTGGTCAGGATTCCTGTGTTTTGCTTTAAGAACTAAAAGCTCTGCTTTGGTTCATCATCCCTGTCTCACTGCTCCTGCATTTTAAACGCTGTGACGAGGCAGAAAAAGGTGGAAATATTCAGATGTTGTGTGCTCAACCTGCACGAGCGTCAGCTTTCGTCCCGCAGACAGAGAGCTGAGATGATGATGATGATGATGGTGAAATGTTTTGTCCTGCAGTTGTGGCACATGTTGATTGTACAGCGGAGGCTTTGCTGCTCGGCTGGTGATCACACCGTCACATTATCTCTGTTATGTGAGCTGTTCTGTAATAAATGTGTTTACTTGTCTCTGTCACTGCGGGTGAAACTTCCAGACAAAGATTTTCATTCCTGAATCCTCACAGAGGTGGAAGTGCCAATATTAAGAGGCATTTTTAATGTTTTGCTTTGTAAAGCTTGCCACCAATAGGGGGCATGCTGTCCCAGTGAAAGCATGACTGCTGACAAAGGTTACCAGTACACCCTCTGCACTGGTCCCTCTGCATGCCGCTGCAGCATCACCACACAGTCACTTCTGTTTATGCCAGTTGTTAAAGAGCAGGAAGCTGCTACAGTATTCTGCTGATGATGGATGATACTGCCACAGCTCAGCTATCACACAGACTCCAGGTTTACAGCAGAGGCTCATTTATGACTGCGCAGCCTCTCTGAGTGAGTCCTGAGCTCCAGAATTCAGATCTCAGCCTCCCAGAGCCCAAAAAGCCTCATCAGCTACCAACAAAACACTTCGTTCTCATATCAGAAACACTTTGATTTTCTCTCTGAAAACAGCGAAGCAGTTCAGATCAATGAGCCGGAGCTGCAGGAGGATCAATGTCTTTCATGCAATAACAAACTCTGTTGGACGTTGTCTGGACTGTGTGGGGTCTGAGGACCGAGACTCAGGCGTGTAGGATCTCTGATCTACAGAAGACCGAAAGAAAGACTCCACGAAAGTCGCTTTGTGCTCACATGCATGTTCCTGCTCTGCATTAAAATACCCGTCGTCTATTACTGAGGCGCAGAAACATGCAGGGCTCAGCTGTAAACATGTGAGGGGAGGACTCGGTGAAGTTTGCATTAACTCTCATACGCTAAACATTCAAACTTCTCCTGTGTGTCTGTGCTGTGTATTCTGGAGATGCATACCACATCAGCATCTGAAATGTGTTAGTCACAGTTACAGAGTTCAGTTTGTGCGCTCGGTGTTTCTCAACCTGCTGTGTCTGATAACTTTATTCA